GCTTCTTATGAAGGACAAAGAAGGCCTGGTCTGGCAACGGATTTTTGCACTTATGGAGCTGAGGAAAAAAGAGAGAAAGTAATCCACATGAGAATGGGAAATTCAGAGTCAACCTTACCTCCTTATGTTAGAAACTAAAGGGAAATATTTATGACTTGGTATTTCTAGCAAGCCTGCTTAGTGAGGAGGGGAGGGGAGGGAGGAAGAAGTGAGTAGAGGGCCAGAGGGGCAGGGACAGATGTAATTTGATTCACTGACAGGCAATATAGTATACTTAGAGAGGTGATGGCTTTTGACATGGACTATCTCTGAGACCTTGGGCCTGTTGCTTTATCTCTCAAGTCTCAGTTTTCTAGTGTAGCTGCTTTCTAGATTAGTCAATCCCCAAAGCACCTACAGACATATGCATAATATAAATGATTGTCACTTTGAGTCACTAAGTTTTGGGGACAGTTTTTTACTCAGCAATTGCTGACCAATACAAAAACTCCACTGTAAAGCTGCTGTGTTAAATGAGATAGTATTTGCAAAACATTTAGCACAATGCTTGGTATGTAATAGAGCTCAGTCTAAGTCAGCTCTTATTATTACGTAGTCGTATATCCCAAACACGCTGTTAGATACAATTAGGGCTGTTCTGTTAAGGAAAATGCTGGTTTCTGTCCACTGTTCCTGATACTAATACCTCCCATGGCTGTGCTAGCTTTATAATTTTCTGTACTTTACAATTTACCTTCTATGTTATACTCTCCTGTTGTCTTCCTTGCCTCTACCTTTGGCTTGTTTGTTTCTCACAATATGTACAATTATTCATCATGACCAATGTAACAAACTAAGAAGAATATGCTGTGAAGTCTATGATCTGAATGTAGGTTGTCAGGCTATTCATAAATCTTGGCACAGGGAAATGTTTATGACCCTCCCTCTAGCAGGCTCAGAGTGGAAAATTATTTTTGCATTTGTTTAAGAAAACTGTATTACACAAACAAATATTTCTTTGAAGAACACAGCAGTTCCTAAAGCCAAAGAGAAAGGATTTGAGATCATTCTACACAGCAAACTTTAGTGAACATATGAATCTCTTGGAGATGTGTGAAAATACTGATTCTGATTCAGTGTTGGGGGAGCTTGAAACCCTGCATTTCTAACAAGCTCCCAGGTGATGCCATGCTGCTGGTGAAGTCTAGCTTCCAGTGGCAAGGGCACACACGTTGCTTTCCTCCCTTCCCTACTCCAGAAGCAATCGTTACTAGTAACTGATTGCGTTTTATGTGGAGCAGCACAAGCAGAACGCCTTCTGCAAAATAGCCCAACACCCAAATCTGCACAGGTTAGGAGAGTCCATCACGACAGTCATGTTTCTTTTACCTCCACAGAATGCTCCTTGTTGTTGGCGTGCAGCCAGAAGTCTTTTGCAGGACTCAGGGTCACCATTAACATCTTACCGTCAACAGCATCACCTGATTCACTGGAATATGAAGACTCGTAGTAATGCAGTAACACCTTGCCTTTCTCTTGATCTTTCCCCAGGTCTTCCACATAGATCTCGTAACTTCCTTCCTCCATAACAAATGTGACGGATTGGTCATTATATGTGCTCAGAGAAGCAAAAGATTCTGTAATAGGCGAACTTCCCGTGGTACTTAGGGTGTGAAGTGCTCTAGAATTGTCCTGGACTTCTGACAGACAAAAGTGCTTCACAGTAAATGACTGCCGAAAGGGAGTGGGTACCAGGTGTTCTTTGTGCTTTCCACCTGCTTTTAGTGAAGACCTTTTCCTTTTTGATTTAAGGCCAGAGCATGTCA